TGGAGAGCCTATCCTTGAATTTCCTGACAAAAAGCATAATTGTCAAGGACTTCTGTGTATTTTTGGACGGCTTCTAAAGATTGATAATTATCAATGTATCCAAAATCAACATGAAAATTCGAAGAAATCTCTTTCCCAAAACCAGTTTACCCTGACAACGTACCCACCTGCTTTATCAAGCATTCCAACATTGCAAACATCGCCTAATTACATGTGCCACTACAATGGAAAATGGTATATGCCAGGAGAGATGATTGAGCAAGGACAAAGCGGAAACTGGTGTTACTTTACACAGTGTTCTGACACTGGTCACGTGATTTCTGGTGACAATTTCAACTGTGGAACGACCTACCCAACGACTATTCCACCCACCACAACACCATTTCTTACCACTACTCCAGCCATAACCACCACAACCACGTCATTAGTCATTACCCCCATGTACTGCTTTTTTAAAGATCCAACTACCCAACAAATGGTTGTTTGGCGCGGAGGAACTACAGATAAATTAAGTGATGGTACCGTTTGTAGATGTGAATACTGGGGGAGACTCTCTTGTCCTGAAAATAATGTTGGAAAATGAAGTGAATGAATTTCTTTAATTAAATCTTAAGACATGGTCTTTATTGTAATAATAAATATACAAAATAGTGCAGAGTGCCTTTTGCTACGCGCATTATTTCATAACTGGCGGAAATTGAATTCGAAGGTACTGCATACGTATGTTGTTTTGAGTCATATGATCATTGTACTGCAAAGTTGATCTCTGGAAACACAAAATATGCTCAGAGTATAGGTGGATTTGATCAAAACAGTAGTATTTTTTAAAGCAGGGCACAATATAATTTTTTTGACATATCAAGAATCTGCGTTAATTTTTAACCGCGGATTAAACTGATATTGTGATCTCGCAGAATAATGACCTTTTGGAAAAAGGTTCATCTGAAGTATATCAACGAGGTTAAACCGGATGCTAATGAAAGAAATAAGATAATTATGATTTGCATGAATCTGTAATTACTGGTATTACATTTGCGTGCAGTGGGGAGAGTTGGGAGATAAAAAGACAAGAGTGAGAGAAAGCCGAGGAGAGAGACTAGAAGGATAGAGGTAGAAACTACGAGAGAGAAAAAGGAATGAAAGGGAGGAGAGAAGGGGGTTGAAGAAAGAGAGTAGAGTATTTGGGGAACACAAGAAGACAGAGCGGAAGAGACAAGAGATGTTTGTAAACATGTATGCCCCCTCTCCCTAATTATTGAAATTTTTTTTAAGTCCAAGGGGCATAACTCTGTCCAAAATGGCCCGATCGTACCCAAAACCAAACTTGACATATTCTTAAGATAACTCTGTATACCGAATTTCATTTCAATATGTGCAACCTCTGCAAAGAAAATGAACCGAAACTTCAAATAATTGGAATTTTCCTAAGTCCAAGGGACATAACTCTGTCCAAAATTACCCGATCAAACCCAAAACAGACCTTGACCTAGATACATTATCCGTATGATAAATCTGTATACCAAATTTCATTTCAATATGTGCAGCGTCTGCGAAGAAAATGAATGGAAACCGATGGTGGACAGACAGACCGACCGACCGACGATCAGCAGCAAAGTAAGGGGAGCATAAAACTGACATCTAATTGATATTTTTTGTGAGAAAAAAGATGGCAAGAAATCGGCAATATATACAGATTTTACGGTTATATTTGTCAAAGAATAATTTGATATATTTTTTAAAGCTTAAAACAATACTAAGTGGTTTCCAATCCGGTAGGGTCGAACGAGAATGATAACTCTAATGTTCTAAAATCCGAGGGAAAAGTGTGTACTTAAAAACAATGCATTAAATCGCCGATATTTCCGATTCAGCGATTTTTCTTGTCGTTATCATCGAAAAAAGATGTTATTGGGCAAAGTGATCGTGAGTCGGACGCGATCTGAAATCGGACATTTTCCAGTCTATTTTTATCACCTTTCCCAACCGATATTTTTTATTACATCATCACATAAACAATAAATATGCATTGTTTTTCTTAGAGTTACCTTTCTTTGTTCACACTTCCGTTTTCTCTCTTTCTGACGCTTGACCTTCACAAGTGAAAACAGAGGGAAAATTTGACAGGCAGAAAGGTAAAAGTTTCAAAATCAAAACATTTCAACACAACTTTGTAATGCATAAACATATGTCTTTGAGTTTGAAAACTAGAAAAATATTTTCAAAAATGTTTAAAGTAACTAAATTTATCAATGATATAACAATCAATAAGTTGATTTAAAAGAATTTCAAGATCAAACAAATATGGATAATTTGATATTGAGTCGGACAGTAGAAATCATAGATTCGATCATAAGTCGGACACTGTCCGACTTATTATCAGATAGATTTTTGCTATGGGCAAATCATCTGGATTGTAAAGAGCAGAGTTTTTTTTTCTACTAATTTAAATCAAATATCCAATAATAATAATAATATTAATAAATATAAATGAATAAATAATAATAATTACACAGTTGAATGTTCTGACCATATTTTGCCTCAAAGTACTAATTAATTCTCAAATTTCAAACAACTAAGAATATTTTTTTATTTAAAGAATAAATTAAATAACAACCAAAATTACACTGTATAACCTGGGTTTGGACAGTTTAAGATTTATAAACTGCGAATAAAAAAAGCGTAAACAGCTTCAACCAAAGTTATAGCAGTATAACTTGTGTTGCTATTTAATTAATTTCATATAATTTAATTTTCAATCAGTTACAAAGAAAATTTCTCCCTTCGTTTTCAATTTGTTAATATTTTAAACGGTTTTTCAAGTGGATTGATACGTTTTAGACGTAAGCCATTGTGACGTAGGCAACCAGGTTATACAATTTAGAATAATTCTTTATCCAATCAAATGACGCGTTACACACACAAAAAAATTATTTGGACTTAAATGTATCGCTACATTTTCTCTCAATATATTGTAATGAAATTTCAATTCTCTTCTATTCTTTAAAATCTCGTAGGTAATACAGGTTTAGGTCAGGTTAAAAATTCTTTCAAGTTTTAGCATTATAACATGTAATTTTGAAATAATTTAACAGATCTATCCAGTGTCATGAAAAACGTGATCATCAGAAACGTGTATGCTGTCGGGATGCACCATTGGGGGCCGCATGAAATGCCAGTTGATGTCGTGCATTACTGTAAATGGGAACCCCAGAATCCCTACAACTGTGCCATATGCATCTTTGCCGATAAGGACATGACAAGACGCGTGGGCTACTTCAGACGCGAAGATAGTTCGATATTGTGTAGATTATTCAAAGAGGGTTTAATTGTTGATTTTTGTTACCTGAAGGCAAAACAAGTGGCAAAATTTTCGAAAAGGAAAGGGTCAATGCAGAATGTGTCTTTTGGATTCAATTGCGAAGGGAAGAACGTCAGGGCTATACAGGACATAGCGCAACATTATGAAAACGTTATATACTAGTAAAAGATATGTGCTAAATTGCCATTCTTTAATGAACAATTTAATAAAGTTATTTCTCTCTACGATCGAGATGGATGAGCTCTTAATAAATTAAAATATAAAATTACATGTATGCATACAAAATTATTTTTGTTATTTTTTCTATAGAATAAAATGACTTCGCCTAAGACTTACTCAAAAGAGGCAATGTCAGCGGCAATAGCCGATGTAAAAAACAACAATTTGTCGATAAGAAAATCTTCTAAAAAATATGGAGTACCAAAATCAACCTTAAGTGACCATGTTAAAGGGAAAATAGAGGAGAGAGTACATGGGGAAGCAAGCCCGTTTTTAACACGGAAGATGAAAATGAAATGATAAACCTTGCAATAAAAAGATCTGAAATGGGGGTCGGGTTTTCGAAACCAAATTTTTTAAGATTTGTAGGTGCAATGGCTGAGGTCAGAGGAAATCAATTTAAAATGGGAAAACCATCTGACATGTGGTGGCGCAGATTCAAATCTCGGCACAAAGATTTTTCTCTTCGCTCCCCAGAACCAACAGGAACTATGCGCCACGATGCTATGTCCCGTCAGAGAATAGCCACTTATTTTGAAGAGCTTGGCAAGATTGTTTTGTCCCCAAGCTTCAAAGACGAGCCATCCAGAATATGGAATATGGACGAAACTGGTGTCAATTTGAGCCATAAACCAAATAAAGTTTTGGCCAAAAGGGGGGCTAGATCAGTTCATGGGAAAACATCAACTTCCCGTGAACTGATCACCGTAATAGCTTGTGGAAATGCGGACGGTGGGTACTTGCCTCCGCACTTTGTCATACCAGGTAAAACTCAGAAAAAATTGGATGGGTATGACTTAGAATCAGTGGTTCAAGAGGGTTCCGTGATAAAAGGTGCCAACTTTTCGGTCTCCGACTCGGGATGGACAAAGGATGGTATTGCAAGACTATGGTTTACAGAAACATTTTTGAAAAATATAGGCCCTGCTAGACCACAGTTGTTGATCTGTGACGGACATGGTTCACATAACAATGTAGAATTTGTTGATTTAGCAAAACTGAATGACATTATTATTGTCGAGCTGCCAAGTCACACCAGCAACTGGACTCAACCATTTGACAGATCGGTGTTCAAGTCTCTCAAGAGCCATTGGAACACCACGTTAGATGATTTCATTAAAAAAACGGGGATAGCAGTAGGCCACAAACAGTTCCTAAGACTGTTTAATATAGCATGGCAAGCTGCACTCACGCCATCAACCATCCGAAATGGATTTGCTGCGACTGGCATTTACCCCTTTAATCCCCATTCCATTCCAGACGAAGCGTTTGCCCCGAACGAAGGTTGTGTTTCTGAGATTACCCCAGAGCCAGCAACACTCTCGGGCACGGAAAAAGAGTTAACAATTAGCAGTTCCTCTAACAAGAGGCCCAATGGGCCTTATAGGTCACCTGTGTATCATGCAACAACTTTCCAACAATTGAATTTTATTCATGTTTTAATCCAGAGGCCATGGAATTCACAATTTTGAAAGAGACACCATTGCTTAGCATAATTATGCACTCAGCATGCTTACTTTGGTTAGTAATACCCAGAGGTACATGTAGATCACAGTAAAAAAGAGAATATGCATTTCCACTCTATCATTATCAGTTGTGCACCCCATCCCACAGGAACCACTGACCCTTGGGCCACATCTTTCAAAATTATGGAAATTTTACTTCATCATGTTGTTGATTAATACCAAAGTAGAGATTTCAAAGCATTAAATCATTTTCAGACCCCCCCCCCCCCCCAAGTACCTCTGTCCCAGAGGAAATTAAGCATTTTTGGAAGAAGCAGCGTTCTTTATCATAAATATATACTAATATACTAAGATCATTGCCATAATACACAGGATCAAAGGAAAAAATTTTCAAAGAATTCCTGCATTTTCACTATATAAACATTAGAGCCCTGCTCTAACACAAGTAGAAACACATGAAATTCACAATTTTGGAAGAGGCAGCCTTATTCAACATAACTATGTACTTGGTTATTTTATTTAAAGTCCAGGAGCTGAGAAGAAGATTTTCAAAGAAATAATTCATTTTCACTATATAATCTATATAGCCCCCCCCCCCCTCCCCTGCCACTAGAACCCCTGACCCTGGGACCATTAGATTCACAATTTTAGAAGAGGCATCCTTATTCAACATTACTATGCACTTAGTTAGTTTATTTAAAGCCCACGAGCAGAAAAGAAGAATATCAAAGAAATAATGCATTTTCACTATATAATCTATATAGCCCCGCCCTGTCACTAGAACCCCTCACCCTGGGGCCATTAGTTTCACAATTTTAGAAGAGGCAGCCTTATTCAACATAACTTTGCACTTGGTTAGTTTATTTAATGTCGCAAACAGATAAAGAAAAATATCAAAGAATTATTACATTTTCACTATAATAATCTATATAGCCCCGCCCTGTCACTAGAACCCCTGACCCTGGGGTCATTAAATTCACAATTTTGGAAGAGGCAGTCATTTTCAACTCAACTATGCACTTGGTTAGTTTATTTAATGCCCAGGAGCAGAAAAGAAGAATTTCAAAGAAATAATGCATTTTCACTATATAACCTATTTAACCCCGCCCTAGCACTAGAACCCCTGACCCTGGGGCCATGAATTTCACAATTTTGGTAGAAGACTTAATGCTAATTACAATCATACCAACAGTTTGACTGCTTGATGTCCAGGAGTAAAGAAGAAGATTTTTAAAGATTGCACTAATTTTAGTGGGTTTTGCCCCCCCCCCCCAGGCCCCAGGGGGGCAGGGACCATGAAATTCACAATTTTTGTTCCCCTTTACCCATAGGTGCTATATGCCAAATTTGGTTGAAATTGGTTCAGTGGTTTCAGAGAAGCTGAAAATGTTCAAATGTTAACGGACGACGGACGAAAACGGATCAGGTGACCTAACAATATCGAGAGCTGTAGTTTATCATCCAGTTCTGAGGAGACTGAGGTGTTTTCAACAAAAGTAGCGATACTGTAATTTCATCTGACCTCGATGTTTCATCTATAACACTGTCAGTTCCCTTAAATCTTGATGGTGAACTTACACTCCCGGTTGTGTTTGATCCGCTCGATGGATTGGTGTTGGATTCCAGTGACACAAGTAATTATGGCGCTGGTGAACATTCAGTTGAAATATGTAGCTCTAAATGCTCTCCACAAGAAGCATTAGATGTCATAGAAACTGCGCTAACATCGGAACAAAAGCTACGATTTCAAGCTGCGTTTCTCTCTGGATCAAATAATGCAAAGCTGAACAATGATCCTCTCTTCAAATCCTGGAGCTACTATACAGAAAAAAAACAACGAAATGAAGTTATGTGACAGCAAAACCATGTCTTCCATAGATGGTTCTGTGTCCGTGGCATCAGCTGTGCAGCCCATTGTGAAATCTGGTACCGTTCCAACTGTCACATCCTCTTGTTCAGCTACTGCATCTGTTTCATCTGTAGCAGATCAATTATTTCCCATTCCTAATCCGGTACCTAAAAGAAACAGGAAGCGGGGGGACCGATTATTTCGTCATCACAGCTGATGAGGTATTCAGCCAGAAAAAGAAAGCCCTAGAACTGAAACGTAAACAAGAGGAGATAAAAGAACAGAAGCGAGTAGAGCGAGAGAGGAAACGGGCAGAAAAAGTCATCAGTTTGACCATGAAGAAGAGCAAAGTAAAAAAGACACAAAGTCAAAATTCTTTCAAAGATATAAAAAAAATGTTGTAAATTACATCCAATATTTGGATTTAATAGCTAGCTTAAATATATATAAACGAACAACTATCATTAATTAATTTTATTTCTTTAAGAAATTTTTGAGTGTGAAGCACGCATTAATTTATATTAATAAAAGACTTGAAAGAAACTTCAGAATTCCATAAGTGATAAGTCTTCTCTTTCCTCTTTCTATCTATTCTTTCTTATTTTTCTTTCTCTGATTTTGAGTTTTGACGGTCCTAAGTATCGGTAGAGTTTCAAAACTTGACTTACCCCGCCCCCAGCAATGGGCGTTTGCGGAACGGATTTCTAGGGTTTTTGACAGTTTTCCTTTTATCCACGTTTTCAGTCAAGAAAAGGAATAATCGCTCTTTGATTTTCTTGCTATTGTAGGCAAGGAAATATATAAGCTGTCTTTACAAACTGCCCCCCCCCTCCTACTCAGAAACTTTACCATTGTCCCCTTATGATGTCGTTTCCAAGGGGTGCTGAATTAGCCTAGAAATAATGTGTTACACTATTTATAGTAAAGATCAGCTACATGTAATCACTTGAACACAACTTTTATAAATCGGGTGTAGGATCTCCGCAATGTTTCGATCAATTTTTTTTGTCCACTTTTATTTTGGTCAACTGACATAAAATTAATTAGATCGCTTAACAGTATGACCTGCTGTGTGAATTAATTAATTTTAATATTCTGATCCATCAGGGAATGTTTGCATTACTAAATACCTGCAATATTTACCTGTACGTATTATTTATAAAATATATGAGTGTCCGACTCAATATCAAATGTGTCCGACTTACGATCGAATTTCGATGTTGGTAGTTTTTCATATCTAAATGGATTGAAAGGTAAGATACCGAGGTGATCCAAGTGACAAATAATAGGCATTTCCGAGCTCTCTCGGACGACACCCAAAATCAAAGGGTAGGTAGTCCGACACGATGAGCATTCGAAATGGAAAACGAAGGGTGTCCGACTCACGATCACTTTACCCTAATTAATTTATAAAAATATAAAACATTTTGTTTTGTCCATAAGTTGGCATTATTGTAAGTTTTCAAGAATGATAATTCATCTCTCGCGCTTACAGAAGGAATTTATTAAGGAAAATCTGCTAACACCTAAAAGTTCTTTTTTACTATTTAGTGAGTCGGAATTTTTTTTTAGTGATTCAGAAAAAAGGTTAACTTTCTCTGTCAATTTTTGAAAGGATATTATAATAGAGAAAAGGCTAAATTACATGTCAAAATTTCTCAATACAGACCATTGAATTCAAATGACTATATGAAACAGGTATATTTACTATGAACATAATAAACAAGAAACACACACACCTGATGAAAAACAAGCACAAACAATTAATATCTTCCCTATTTTAAACAACAAATCAACTCAAACAGCAATAATGAGGACAATTCAAACATAAATTATATCGAAAATTACTTTATTCAATCTCAAAAAAACAAAAAAAAACACTAAACCTCATCAAACAATAGCTAAAGCAAGCAAATGCCAATAAAAATGGAGGCATGCAGAGATATGAAAATATCTATAGATAGTCTTATAGATAGCCTACAAAGCATTCCCTTCATAGCAAAAATACGAGTACTTTAACTATTGGTGTAATCTTACAACCGTATAATTATAGGAGAGTGAAAAAAATAGAAGTTCAACATTTACGACTATTGATATGTAAGTTAGCGAACAATCCCAGAAAATCCATAAATCTACCTGCTTTTTAAAAATTCACAGAGATTTCAAGGGACATAGACACAGATTCGAAGTTAATATTTTCCAATTTTCTGCATAATATTATGACTAATTGTTTGTTCATTCATTTCACACAGAAATATTATTATTTATCTTTATTTTTTTATCTGGAAATTATTTTAAAACTATAATCAAGAAATTCAGAGTAGAAATGTGAGAAAGCAAATTAGACTAGAGGTACTGTGAGCAATGAGCTTACTAAATGGTACCCCCGCATGCCATAATGTCCATGTTTCGCTCATATATTGTTTTACGGTAACGTGTAAAGAGGAATAACTCGTCTTATCAAATGTTATCCAGAAGCTTCTATATGTGACGTCATAGGTAAGAATATAATGGAAATGTCCATGTTTTGCTATGGGAAACTGTGCAAGTACAAACTCTGGTGTGACAGTGTGTTACAATAAGATAAAGTATAACAGCTGACACATATCAGATAGACTGACAATCCAAAATTTACACTATGCCATTTTCCAAAATTAAATGAACCAGAAGTCTCTGTCGAGACTGTAGCTCTACTGGTTTGTACTTAAAACAAAGGATGAGAAAAGAAGCCAATGCCATTAGACCAAAACTATAGAAGGAGTTGCGTTTTAAAGGGAATTTACAGAAAATTCTATTTTTAGAAACCATGGCAACACCGTTCATCAAAATCGAAAACCGATGCACTATATTATTATCTTAGTGTAGTCTACTTGTGTGTCAAGTAATACTGAAATCAGCCCAAAACTGTAGAAGGAGTAGCGTTTTTAAGGAATTTCGCAGAAAATTCTATTTTTAGTAACCATGGCAACACCGTTCATCGAAAACCGATGCACTATTTTATGTATCTTGGTGTAGTCTACTTGAGTGCCAAGTTATACTGAAATCAGATCAAAACTGTAGGAGAAGTAGCATTTTAAAGGAATTTCACAGAAAATTCTATTTTTAGTAACCATGGCAACTCCGTTCATCGAAATCAAAAACCGATGCACTATTTTATGTATCTTTGTAAAGTCTACTTGTGTGCCAAGTTATAATGAAATCAGACCAAAACTGTAAGAGGAGTAGCGTTTTGAAAAATTGTTTACAGACAGACGGACAGACAGACAGACAGACGGACGGACGACGGACACCTTACTATCGCATTAGCTCTTCTGGTCTCTGACCAGTAGAGCTAAAAACTGAGTTTTACACAGTAGAAATCTAACAGACTAAACATCTTACATAGTTAAAGCAGGATTGTATTTATATACCTAATATAGCGTAACTCAATAGCATTCCTAAGATATAATGTACATCATAGGATAATCCATATTTTACGATAGGCCTACCTAGCCACAAACTTATCAGCATTTCAAATTATAAGAAAATACAAGTTAAATGCAGAAAATATCGAAGCTAAATGGTAATACAATGGTACTGCTTAATGCACACATAATTATAACAACGATTGCTTACTCCTATGGTGTTCTATGGCACAAACACTTCAAGTAACAACACACGTGTGTAAGTACATGGAAGTACGTGATTTACAGTAAAGGTAAAAAACGAAACAGGAGAATATAAAATTTCGGCAAGTAACACTACAGAAACCTAAAATACCTGTCGAGTAAAAAAGTAAAATAGGAGGTGCACAATGGCAATATGTAATAAAGATTCTGTGAAAGCTTCATTTTTCACTCAGTAGTATAAGAGGAGTTGCGGATAAGAGATAGGTACACCAAAGCGTAACAGACGGACGTACGGAAATAACGATTACTATATACCTTCCCACTTTTCAAGCGGGGGTTATATAATAAACACAACTCACCATTATTGCCAGTCCGTGCTTACTGATGTGTGTAGACAAACAAATTGAACACATCAAATTTAACAATAACAGAGCTTGTGCCCTATTTATCAAAAAAAATTTATGTTTCCCGGGTTTGAATATTTTGTTTATACCAGCTGAAATCCCACACAAGCGCGGGAGAAATTCATTTTTAGGTCTACTGGTCAGAGACAAGAGCTTATGCGATAGTAATGCGTCCGTCGTCCGTCCGTCTGTAAACAATTCTTCAAAATGCCACTCCTCCTACAGTTTTGGTCTGATTTCAATATAACTTGGCACACAAGTAGACAACACTGTGGGCGACTTCGATTCGTACCCGAGTACGTACTCGAGTTACTTGAGATTCAATCGAACGACCATAGTTACTATTCAAAATACGTCATATGACCTTATGAACTCTACCCAAGCTAACCCAGCCATACAGTAGGATTACTAGAGTTTCGATATGGCGGCGTCGAAAGAAAAACCCGAACGTAGGAATTATTTTTTACTAAATATTATGTTTAGCATCGCTTATCCTTAAAAGCAAACTTCGAAACGCACTTTCTACATGAACGCTTTATAATTTATATGAATATATGTTTATTTGATTAGATTTTTCAGGCTTACTGCCCGATAACAGCACAGAGACATAAATTCAAATTTAAAAAAAAAGAAAAACATTTCAACTGCAGCAAAAGCTATAGAAAAAATTAACTCAATAGATGATGTCAAACTGGACCTATTCGACCGCCTTTTAAAACTCATAGAGGAAATTTATTTTATTTTCGCTACCCTTCAAACTCATATGAGTTCGCTTAAAAACCACATGTTTGTGTAAACATCCGGTCATGTGACGTCAACCAAGAGTTAATACTCGGGTATGAATCGAAGTCGCCCTAAGACACATAATTCTGTATATCGGTTTTTTGACCGGCCATTTCGATTGATTTCGATGCACGTGTTGCCATGGTTACTAAAAATAGAATTTTCTGTGAAAGTCCTTTAAAATGCTACTCCTACAGTTTTGGTCTGATTTCAATATTACTTGGCACACAAGTAGACTACACTAAGATACATAAAACAGTGCATCGGATTTTGATTTCGATGAACGGTTTTGCCATGATTACTAAAAATAGAATTTTCTGTGAATTCCTTTAAAACGCTACTCCTTCTACAGGTTTGGTCTGATTTCAATATTAGATGGCACACAAGTAGACTACTCTAAGATACATAAAATACTGCATTAGTTTTTGATTTCGATGAACGGTGTCTGCATCGTTACTAAAAATAGAATTCTCTGTGAAACTCCTTTAAGGTCAAGATCTAGTAAATAACTTGAGACTGATTTTTTGGTGCTAGACCCATTATGACGTCATAATCAATTTCAACTTTCTTTTTCCCGTACTTTACGGCTTTAGCAGAATTATGTAGAAAATTGGGTATTTTGATGTCATTCAATTTGAAATAATATGAAAAGTAAACCGGATACCTATAATAAATTTGATATTGATTTAAAGAAGAGCAGAGGCGTAGTCACAAACTTAAAAGTGGGGGGGCTCAACTCCAGAAATTCTTTGAAAAAAAAAAAACAAACTTAAAAGTGGGGGGGGCTCAACTCCAGAAATTCTTTGACAAGCAAAAAAAAAAAAAAAAAAAAAAAAGTGGGGGGGCTCAACAAGTCCAGAAATTCTTTGACAAGCAAAAAAAAAAAAAAAAAAAAAGGGAAAGTTCCCCAAACTCGAAAATCCTATTTCGTGGGGGGGGGGGGGAGGCCAACTTTTTCGAAGGCAAGTTACTTTGAAATCCATTCAATGAATATTTCCTATAGTAAAGGTAATGTTGGGGAAAATAGCTGTGACTTTGTTCTTCTTTTAAAAAGTGGGGGGGCACAGACATACTCTTGCCCCCCCATATCTGAAAGTGGGGGGGCTAGTGCCCCCGCTGCCCCCCCTGTGACTACGCCTATGAAGAGGCCATGAACATACTAATTAACGTTTTCTGAGAGACTGTAGGCAATTTGGATACATTTTCTTTGCCGAATACGAAAAAAACTCCGATATTCATGACTGGTTTTCGTAATTTTTCATTGAAAATGACAGTTTGAAATACAGTTTTTCATCTTGTTTACCTACAAATTATACCCCGAAACACCTTATTTGACCAAACTTAAGTTGTAAGAAATCAATAAAGGAATTTATTTCTCAAGTTTGATAAATCTGTAGGCACCTTTCATTTACTAGATCTTGACCTTAAGGAGGCTGGGGGGTCAACAAATTAATCACAAATTAACCACCAGATTTAACTTATTTTTTTAGATACGGTAAATTAAGCTGTCTACTATCATTTCACAAAGAAAAAATTCATACATTTTAGTTTTAAAATTTGATCATTTTCTATATCTTCATATGGAGATCTCCTTTTAAAGGAGATAAAAATAGTCTGAGAATGGCTGCCACACCCCAGCCTCGTTAAAACACAACTTCTTCTACAGGTTTGGTCTGATTTCAATATTACTTGGCACACAAGTAGACTAAAGTAAGATACATAAAATAGTGCATCGGTTTTTGATTTCGATGAACAGTGTTGCCATTCTTACTAAAAATAGAAATGTCTGTGAAATTCCTTTAAAACGCTACCCCTTCTACAATTTTGGTCATGGCAATGGCTTCTTTTCTCATCCTTTGTTATAAGTACAAACCAGTAGAGCTACAGTCTCGACAGAGACTTCTGGTTATATGTTAGAAACTTTATTTTAATATATTTTGAGGTATATTTATTGCTTATTATACTTCAAAAGATCTGTTTCCATTTACATTACGCATTGGCGTCGGAAGCAAATTGAAAGTGTGTTGGGGGGGCTATGTGGTAAAAAAAAATTTGGTACCTTGAAAAAACCTGACAAGCAAAAAAAAGGGGAGGGAAATGTACATTTCCCAAACCTGAAAATCCTATTTCGTGGGGGGGGGGGGGGGGGGGGGGGGGGGGTTAGGTTCGAACTTCAGTACCAACATTTCTTTCCAAACGCCACCACTTTCCCCATTTTCAACCTATACTAAGACATATCTGTGAAAAGTGGGGGGGCTAAACCTGCAAAGATATGTTCAATGTCTATACTAAGTATATATATGGAAAAAAAAGGGGGGGGGCTAAGCCCCACCTAGCCCCCCGGTTCCGATGCCTTTGCATCTCCAAAAGCCCTACAATCGTCTTTAGATGGGAATGACTATCATAAAGCGATGCAATTCATAGAAATTCTCCTTTTCGGCACAGGTCAGTGCAAAAATTAAGTCTGGATATAAATTTCCATTCAAGTGTTTCTTTTTTTCATTTAAACATTTTATTATTGGCCATATAGGAGATGAATTGCTACAGCCATTTCTGAGGCATTGTTTTGAAAGATCACTGGAGCCTTCAGCATCAGGTTTTCTTTCTTTTGGTGTAAAGATGTGCAGGATCCTAATTACAAGTGATGATTTTCATAGTTTTAGATGAATTTATGTCATATATTTCTTTTCCCTAAAATGAGAAACAAAGTATTAATACATATGCATATATAAATTTCAAAATATTTTTTCATTTAAATATTATATAGGTTCTTACTAGAAGCCATATTTACATATGCCCTTGCCATATATCTCTTCCGTGCTGGTGTGCGTCGCAACAACAGCGATGCGATTATGGCAAGTTTTCGCCTTTGTATTTTGGCACTGGCAAAACAAATTACCAAAGGATTGAGTTGACTGGTCTCATGATGAGAGTTTGTGCCCCTGTTGAGGTTCATCAGTTTCTGCAGCAACATGAAACATTTACCCGTAAGAGTCTTACTATACAGCACTTTAAAAAAATAAATAAATCACAGCACGTACTGTATGTTTAATGCACATGTACTATTTCATAAAAACACGATTTCTTGTGAGCCACACAAAGTAATAGTATTCTTGCTAGCTGCAATAATGTAGCCCTCTCCGATTTTTTTTTATCTGATGTTTTCGGGAGAGGGCTACAATTCCACAGCATCTCCGTAATGGTGCAAAAATATTTTGTAAATACTGGCGACTGCAGGCAGAATAAATTGTTTTCACAATCAACTTACTTCTAATAAGACGAAATTTTTATTCACTGTCGACATCAAAGTTGAAAGCTCGTTAAACGCGAAAACCATGTAAAATAAATCTGTGCATTTACTTCAGCAGCCATGACAGTTCACGCGTGACGTAGTGAGACTTGCGCTTGAAATTTAGAACAACTCAATAAAGCAAATTGTCGATGTTTATAAATAATTGTGATGAATAGTAACACTAAATATCGATAAATAAAATCATTCCATGTTTCATTTTTTTGTAAACACCGATATTTAAGCTTAAAATAAGGTAATTCCAAAGAAATCCGCTCCCGATAGATCCTTAATCTCATTGGCTGTCCCGAAATAAAATCTGTCAAGGTCAGTAAAGATGGCGGATAAATTTAAGTTGTGATGTTGACATACACGAAAAATACTGATATATGGATTGTTCTGTATATTTTTGGATCGATTTATGTCTGGGATAACTACATTTTGGAAGTCCAGGTAAGACATATAAATAAAATAGCCGTTTACTAACAATTTAAGCCGAAATCCGTGCGGGAGCGAATCGCTCCCGCTCTGCACCATTACGTAGATCCTAAGGAGTTGTAGCCCTCTCCCGAAAACATCAGATAAAAAAAAAAATCGGAGAGGGCTACATTATTGCAGCTATATTCTTGCATGAAGCGAATTATATATATATATAGAGTCTGGTCATCCAGGCAAAGGTGAAGGCTGTGACTTCATATTAGAATAAAAAAACAGACAAGCAAAAGGTTGGTTACCCAGCGGCGCACCCAAAGAGAAGCATTGGCAGCAAATTTGTAGAAATTTGGACAATTTAGAAAAAGGTATTTATTATTTGTAACACTAACACAAAACAATACACATTTCATTATTTACTTTTAATTTCTATGCAATGGACACTTGAATTTTGCTTTCTTCAGCTGAATATTTGAATTAAAAAAAATCCCACACACTGGTCGTTGACCCAGTAACCACAGCGTGCTTTGTCGCATCCAAGCCACTGGCCACGCGCTTCTTTTCTGAGACAGGTATTACATGTCTCTGGTATCTTTGTCTTGATATCCTCTGTCTGCGTGGACTTATTTTTAAACAAGTCGATCCTCCTTCTCTTAAGTGGTATAGCTGGAGTTGAGGTGGGTTTTTTGGAAGGAGGGGGTGTGTGGACCTCAGTTATACACATAAGTTATATAACATTTTATTAATTTATAAATTTAATAATTTATAATTTATGAACTTTAATAAAACAAAATATGTTTTATTATTGTATATAAAATAGCAACGAAAATTGCCTTGCAGATCAACAAGTACATTAAACACCAGCTACATGTAGTAGGCCTTTCAACTAATTTTTCAAGTTGCACAAATGATAAAAAACATTGCATAGATAGATTTATAGGTACATGAAATTATCAAAAAAGATAATAACTTATGCATACTTTTAATTAAATCATTAAAAAGTTTAATAATTTATAATTGACTTTTACGATGTTGTGTTTTTAGGACAGGTAACTCAGGTGTGAAAAATGACCAACTAAGTGCCGATTTATGAGTTATCGTTTAGTTTATAGGAATGACATATAGGCTGCTTCAGCATTGGTATTGTCATGTACACAAATGGGTTCCATACATTGTTTTGTACACAAAAGTGTTGACCAAAAGAAATGAATTTCTTTTCGTTTTTGAGTTTCGTTTTACGGAAGTGTCCGATCTATTCATAGTAATTTTTGCATGCACGAGTGATTTGGCGCTTACTATAAATAGTGTTCCAGGCGTGTTTTTGGTCATTGCGAAGTTCGTTAGAAGATTCCAAGGACATACGTTATAGTGTCCAGGATAAGAATATGTGCGATTCGGAGAAAAATGAATCACAGAACAATGTCCATAATCCAATTATTTTAGAACCAAGGAATTCTGACGATAGAGATTTTGACGCCACAGACGCAGTTAGGCTTTTCAACCGGCGTATTGAAACTGCACTAGAAAAACAACGAGTCGCCATTGTATCTAAAATACAAGAAAAATTCCAGTATAAAAGTGCTGATTCCTGTGATTTACAGAGTGAAGGTAACAAAATTCAGTTCAAATTCAATGAAGAAAGGCTCCGAGCTCTGGATTTGATTGAGAAAAAGTTGTCTATAAACGACATTGGTGAAATTTTTGTAATCATTAACAAAGAAATAGAAGCTTTACACCACAGGAATAAAATTCTGCGTATAGCCGATAAACATGGCTGGGATACCGTTAAAGAGTACACTGACTCTGATTTGGCTGATAATCCTGAGGACGCATCTAAACTCCGTGCCGCCATTTCTAGAGCAGCCGCAAAGAAGAGAAGATACTTACCTTACAGTAAAGAGCCTCAGTCGACCAAGCCCGGGATTTTCGACGGTCTCACCCCTAGACAGCTTTTTCGCGGGAATGCGGGATTTCAGCAGTACACAGGGTACAATCAAAAGTATAACAACAGGGCCAATCCTTCATACTTCAGACCCAACTACCAAGTGCCGGGAAACAACGTCATTTGCCTGTACTGTCAACTCCCCGGGCATTTCGCAAAATTCTGCCCCTACACAGACCTACAGCAAAGAGTACGGCCAATCAGAGTTCCCGAGGCCACAGCAACCTCAGATTCCACAGAACCCAGAAAACAGTAAAGTTGAGTATTGTGCTGAATTTTGTTTGCTCGATGTTAAGTCAGATTTTGAGAACACAAGTTCTGTAAAAGATCGCTTGAAAACTCGCATTATTTTTGGGAAAATGTATTGAAACCTTCTGATTATATTCTGAATGTCGTAAAATACGGTTACAGATTAGAGTTTGAAAGTTCTCCTGAAACAATTTTTCTTAAAAATAACAAATCTGCTTTAGATAATTCAGATTTTGTAGAAACTTCTATTCTTGATCTTTTGAAAAAAGATTTGGTTCTGGAATGCTTTCAAGCTCCTTTTTGTGTTAATCCATTAACAGTTTCCGTATCAGCGAACAAAAAGCAAAGGTTGATACTGGATCTAAGACACGTTAATTCTTTCCTCGTGAAAAGAAAGGTAAAATTTGAGGGGACAAAAGAAGGTTTAAACTTTGCTAAAAAATTTTATGATAAAATTTGATTTAACCAGTGGGTACCATCATATTAATATTTACCCGGAGCATTATCAATATCTAGGGTTTTCTTGGAAAATTGAAGGGACTGTCAGATATTTTGTCTTCACAGTATTACCTTTTGGTTTAAGTTCTGCAGGATAAATTTTCACAAAAACATTAAGACCTTTAGTAGCCCATTGGAGAGCTTGTTCTTTTCCTATAATTATGTACTTAGATGACGGTTGGTTATGCGACACAAAAGAAAATTGGATGTATATGTCAAACATCATTCAGGCGGATCTATCGCGCGCAGGTTTTCTTGTTAATCAAGAAAAAAGTGTATGGAAACCTTCTCAGAAATTAGACTGGTTGGAATTTGAGTGGGATATGTGTCAAGGTGTTATTAGCATTCCACATAACAAATTAGAAAACCTGCGTGTGAAGATCTTGAACATAAAAACTAACAAGCTAATTCAGAGAATTCGTGTCCCCCGCTTAGGGAAAAAGTCGGCTCACCCTGACTGAATTTGTAGAATTGTTAAATGTATACATGTATACTGAAGCAAATAAAAAACATGTATGTCAATATGCGTATAAAGATTTGATTGCTTATTCTTCATTATGTGTATAGAAGATTTTTTTATATGGAATTTTTATCACACTGTAATGATGATTTTATAACCTCATAAATTTTTCATTTCACATGCTGAATACTATCATTTGGTAAAAAAAAAAGTATTAAAAAAAAAAAAGGTTCGACCGAGAGTCGATCCCGGGACCTCTCACACCTGAAGCGAGAAACATAACCACTAGACCACGGAGTCGCTTTACATTGTGTGAAGTATATGCAGAAGTAAAGTCACATACATGTATATATTCATGTTTTCATGTTCGGCATTCTCAAAATCTTACACAATCCATGGTGTTTGATTTATTTATCCTTTATTAAACAGTTCTAATAGATGTAATAAGAACATAAAGTCCGCCGAGAACCTGTTTTATACGCAATAACTCTCCTCATGCCCCTGCGCTAAAAATAGCGACATGTAATACTATAAAAACTAATAAAACAAACGGGGCGGGGCACTTTGAGAGGGGCGAGAGACGTCCTAGGGAGTTTTGATATAAAATTACATTGCATAAGCTCAAAATCTTCTTGAAATATCGCCCGGAAATAATAGTATTACACACAGACAGAATGTATAAATTTACGACCTTGAACTTTGACCTTTTGACCTCAAAATCAATAGAGGTCTTCATTAGGCCACAGGGAGTTGTTATATAAAATTTCATTGCAATAGCTCAAATGGTTCTAGAGATATCGTGTGGAAACGAAAGTGTTTTAACAGACAGAATTTGCTTATTTATGACCTTGACCTTTGACCTTTTGACCTCAAAATCAATAGGGGTCTTCTTTAGTCCACAGGGAGTTGCTATGCTAAATTTCATTGCAAAAGCTCAAAGGGTTCTCGAGATATCGTGTGGAAACGAAAGCGTTACAGACAGACAGAAAGACGGACGGACGGACGGACAGACGGACGGACAAACCCAAATTAATATCCCCCACTTTTCAAGCGGGGGACAAAAAGCATTTCAGTCAGGGATTTAGCGTCAGTTGTCGGCTCTATCATTTCTTTCAAGTTTGCTTTAGGTCCAATATGTCAAATGTTTACAAGGCATCTTTCTATTGCTATTGCTCAAAAATCTTTTTGGGATCAAATTTTGGAAATACCTAAGCCGGCAGCCGACGAGTTAGACTTTTGGCTTGAAAATGTGTTGTACGTGCCCAATAGAGTTATCTCTCCTTGGTTCCGCAGCCCAGACAGAATTGTGTTTACTGATGCGAGCGATTTCACCGGAGCTGGCGTAATGCTCGATTCAAACAAAGAGTATTTTCACGCAATGTGGGACGATTTTGAAAAAACACAAAGTTCTACATACAGAGAATTAAAAACAGTTTTTCTTTTCATCAAGACATTTAGTCATGTACTGAGCAACAAATTTGTAAAGTTATACTCAGCTAATCAAAATGTAATTAAAATTACACAAACAGGTAGCATGAAAGATGAATTGCAAAAATTAGCCTTTTCTATTTATTCCATGTGTCTGTTGAATAATATAGAATTATCTGTAGCGTGGATTCCCAGAGAACACAATGAAGAAGCAGATTTTTATAGCAAGTTTTTCGACTTTGACGACTGGGGTGTAAATCAGAGTATCTTTAAATATTTTGATCGCATTTGGGGTCCATTTACTTGCGACACTTTTGCTAGCTCTTTCAATTTCAAAGTCCAAAAATTTTATTCCCAGTTTTGGACGCCAGGTACTAGTGGGGTTGATGCTTTTGCATTCGATTGGTCTCAGGATTTAAGTTGGTTAGTACCTCCGATACATTTGATTAGCAAATCTATTAATCATATCATTCATTGTGGTGCTAAGGGGGTATTAGTAGTACCTAAATGGAAATCTTCCGTTTTTTGGCCAGCTATTGTTGATATTTCAGGAAAATTTAGATGGTTTATTAAGAAATATGTTGAGTATGAAAAGCCTTCAAATTTTTTCAGCGCAGGTTCAGACAAAAATTGTATTTTTGCAGCAGAAAAGTTTAATAGGAGTAATGTGCTTGTTTTAAAAATAGATGCTACGTCACAATAATTTACATGTGCATATGAACATTTAAAGAGAGAGAGAGTAGAGATGACTGTTTTCTCTTAAGATTATGATGGATTTAGAACTATAATTATGTGTGGAGGACTGTACTCCCAAAGAGATGACTGTTTTCTCTTATAATAGACTTTGAATTATGCATGGTGGACTGTTTTTGCATAAAAGAGATGACTGTTTTCTCTTTATATATAGTTTTGATTTATTAATAGAGGAGGACTGTACTCCGATATATATATTCATAATATTAGATTGTGCGTTTATTTTTGTCGGTTTTTAAGTCCTATTTCTTTAGATTGTATCTAATCATTTATTATTCTGATATATTAACAGATACTGCAGAACTGTCAAGGCCATTGGTGTGATGTTTTGAAGTTTAAACAACATCCTCAACTGGGTGCTCTAGTAGATTTGTTGCCTCAGGTCGTCAAGTGTGCGAAATCGGACTCAACAAATCAAAAATATGATTCCTACTTTAGACGATTTGAGAGTTGGTGTTCACAACATAATTTTCAACATCTTCCCGCTTCTGTGTCTACTGTTTCCCTCTTTCTCGGCAGCGTGATCCAGCAAAGAGTGTCGTCTTCAGTGTTAGATGCTTATTTTTATAGCATAAAGTGGATTCATTCTCAAGCATCTTGTGAAAATCCATGTGAAGATCAATTTTTAAAGCTTATTCTTGAAGGCGGGAAACGAATTCTCTCAAAACCGGTGAATAAGAAAGAACCAATAACCACGGAAATTCTAATAAAACTCAAGGATGATTATTTTAAGGAACCGGAAAATGCTTTGAAGTTACGAGCATTTCTCATGTGCCTATTGGGATTTTCTGGCTTTCTACGTTATAGTGAATTGTCAAATATTGGTTTGTGTGACATCAAATGGAAAGATGCGTATATAGAAATAAAGATTCCAAAAAGTAAAACTGATGTGTATAGAAGAGGGAACATAATTGTTATTGGAAAAACTGGGAATGATTTGTGTCCGATTTCTTGGTTAAACAAGTATATTGCTTTATTACACCTGAACATTACTTCAAGTGATTATCTGTTTACAAGTATAAATTTTATGAAATCTTTAGGGGTGTACAAGTCTTGTAATACGTCAAAACCTTTGTCTTACACTAGAGCAAGAGAAATTTTGTTATCTGCATTAAGCAGTATTGGCCTTGATAGTTCTAAGTATTCGTTGCATAGTTTGCGGAGGGGGGTGCAACCGCTGCCTCCAACAATAATGTCCCCGATAGGCTTCTTAAAGTTCATGGTCGTTGGTCTACTGATAAAGCGAAGGATGGGTATATTGAAGACAGTATTCAGAAAAAGCTTTATGTGTCAATGAATCTGGATTTGTAGAAAATATTACTAAACACCTTTGTTTGATTGCGATCTTGTAACGAACGCACCTAACCTAAACTATTTGTTGTTGTTTTTCAAATTAGTCAAGAAAAGATTTATTTTCGGAGGAGTTTACGAGGGAGAAAATAAATGAATTTCTTTTCGTTTTTGAGTTTCGTTTTACGGAAGTGTCCGATCTATTCATAGTAATTTTTGCATGCACGAGTGATTTGGCGCTTACTGTAAATAGTGTTCCAGGCGTGTTTTTGGTCATTGCGAAGTTCGTTACAAGATTTCAAGGACATACATTTCCCTTCCCATCCCCGCCCTACAAACTATGCAACGCATTGTATGTAATCATTAAATACCTTTCAGATATGTTTTCTTGTTAATGAAGGTGTCAATTAATATTGTGTTACACATTTCGCCATTAAAACATATGATTATTGATATATTTATAAATGCGATCTTGTAACGAACGCACCTAACCTAAACTATTTGTTGTTGTTTTTCAAATTAGTCAAGAAAAGATTTATTTTCGGAGGAGTTTACGAGGGAGAAAATAAGGAGAATGACTTCACTCTACCTGAAACAACAGGGTCAAATGATTGGGAAACAGACTATATTAAACATTTTTAACTCTCTTTGACGA